TTTGCACATTAAAATGTCACTCACATTCCCCACTTTTTACAGATACAAGTTTACAAAACTGCTTTGAAAGTCCCCAGGGAACTAAAAGACTGCATGAGTGATGAGACATTCCAAAAAGCGCGCTTATATGGCCTTGATAGGGCCAATTTCGGTGTATTTAGTGCCATTATTAAAGATGTAATACTAATGGGCATCGAACTATACACTGGCTTTATTGCAGTGCAATGGGCCTGGGCAGTAGATTTGGCGAAGCTTCTATATTTGAATGAAGAAAATGAAATAATCGTCAGCTGCTTGTTTGGGCTAGTCACAAGCGTGCTAGGAACATTCAAAGATTTGCCATTTAAAATTTATTCTACATTTGTGCTGGAGGAAAAGCACGGATTCAATAAGCAGACAGCAGGATTTTTTACCTGGGATCAAATAAAAGGCTTCATCGTTACACAAGTATTGATGGTTCCTATCATCTCGGCAACGGTGTGGATTGTAAAGAATGGTGGTGACCAATTCTTTATTTGGCTTTGGCTCTTCACAGGCATCACATCTTTGGTTTTGCTCACAATTTATCCGATTTTCATTGCGCCACTTTTTGACAAGTATACACCGCTTGAGGAAGGTCCGTTGCGTAAATCAATTGAAGATCTAGCTGCTCAGCTGAAATTCCCGTTGACCAAACTATACGTTGTAGAGGGTTCTAAACGTTCATCACATAGCAACGCCTATTTCTACGGCTTATGGAACTCCAAACGCATAGTACTATTTGATACTCTATTACTAAATAAAGGTAAGCCAGATGATTCTGAGCTAAAAGAGGAAGACAAAGGCAAGGGTTGTACCAATGAAGAAGTACTGGCAGTGTTGGGTCATGAATTGGGTCATTGGAAATGTGGCCACGTAACCAAAAATATAATCATAGCACAAGTGCATTTACTTTTACTTTTCGTCGTTTTTGGATATTGCTTCACCTATGGACCCTTCTATGAAGCTGTCGGCTTCCAACCTGGCACGCGCCCTGTTATAGTCGGTTTGCTAGTCGTGTTCACCTATGTCATGGCACCCTATAACGCTATTGTAAACTTTGCTATGATTACACTTTCACGTTACTTTGAATATCAGGCTGATGAGTTCGCACATGGACTAGGTTTCTCGAAACAATTAGGCCAAGCTTTAATTAAACTTAATTTGGATAATTTGGGCTTCCCAGTGTACGATTGGTTGTACTCGGCCAGCAATCATTCACATCCAACACTCTTACAACGTATGGATCGTCTTAAGCAGTTGGATGCAGGAGATGATACGGAAAAGAAGGAGAAGTAAATGTGAAGCTAGCATCAGCGTAGGAAGGATGGAGGATAGTCTTCGATCAATTCGGTAGCGTTAGCTGCCAACATTGTACTCGCACTACAACGCTGCTGTGTCTAGTACCGACTAGTCTCACTGCGATTTGAATTACGTAATATATTAAATTTCTTTTTGTTTTTTTTTTTTTGTACATTTATATTTTTCAAGTTGTATACATATGTACATATATACGTACGTTAGTTGTACAAATTTAAATTCATTCAGAAATAAATCGGAAAAAGCACAACTTTTTAATTAATTGAAGTGAGGCAGTTAAAATATAGTATGTACAAAATGAATACGATCTTTAGTGATACCGCTATTAAATTTTCTATCGTTTTTATCCTGCTTTGTTGTTTTTTTGATGTTCCCTGCTGATGCTCAATTGGAAACTATATAAAAGATTTTATATAGCATTTGATTTGCTAATGACAAGCAACGG